TTCCGCAAGCCCGCCGGCGGCCCCGCCAGGAAGAACTCGATGCGTGGCGCCCGCATGAGCAGGAGGTCCTCGTGGCGTCGTTGTCGTCGTCGTCGTCGTCGGTTTCGTCGCCCCGCCACCGCGCGCCACCTGGCGTGCCCGCCCGGTGGGAGGGGCAGGGAGATACAGGGACATTGGCGGGGCGGAGGACGAGGCCGCCGACGACGACAATCACAATGATAATGATGGTGATGATGACGACGGCGATGATGATGATGAGGATGCGGATGAGAATGCTGATGATGATGACGATGATGATGATGATGACGATGATGGGGATGACGATGAGGATGGTTATGATGAGGATGACGTGGATGAGGATGATGATGACGATGATGATGATGACGACGACGACTACGATGATCATGATGGTGATGATGGCGACGATGATGCTGATGCTGATGCTGATGATGGGGATGGTGATGATGAGGACGACGTGGATGAGGATGATGACGATGATGATGAGTAAGACGAGGTGATGCTGATGATGAGTAAGACGAGGTGGACGATGAGTAGTAAGACGAGGTTGATGATGATGATGATGATGATGATGATGATGATGATGATGATGATGATGATAATGAGTAAGACGAGGTACAGTCTGTATCGGATCTGTATAGGATCCCATACGGTCTGTATAGGATTTTTACAGGATCCCATACAGTCTGTATCGGATTTCTTTCGGATCCTATACAGTCTGCATCGGATCTCTACAGGATCCCATACAGCTTGTATCGGATATGTATAGGATCCTATACAGTCGGTATAGGATCCTTATAGGATCCCATACAGTCTGTATCGGATCTCAACAGGATCCCTACAGTCCAGATCGGATCTATATAGGATCCTATACAGACTGTATCGGATCTCTACATGATCCCATACAGTCTAGATCGGATTTATATAGGATCCTATACAGACTGTATCGAATCTCTACAGGATACCATACAGTCTGTATCGGATCGGTATAGGGTCCTATACAGTCTGTATCGAATTTCTACAGGATCCCATACAGTGTGTATCGGATTTGTATAGGGTCCTATACAGTTTGTATTGGATCTCTACAGGATCCCATGCTGTCTGTATCGGATCTGTATTGAAGCGGCGGCACGCCGGCACGCATACGTTTTTCACCCATAGGACCACGTCAAGGTCCGTAAGGGAGTCCAAGGGAGTTCCAGTTTTTTTTTGGGGGGGGGTGCTGGTTGCTGTTGTTGTTGCTGGGGGGGTCAGAATGCGCCCACGGGGCTCTGAGCGCAGCCTTCGCAATAAGGCGAGGGCGGGTCCGGACGGCTACAGCTCACGGGGCTCCCACGCACGCCTTGTCCTTGTTGTTGTTGTTGGTGCTGTAATTGTTCTTGTTGTTGTTGTTGTCGTCGTTATTTGCCATATCGAAGTATATGAATGTTGCGTAACATATTTCTATTCTAAATATTAGGAGTATGATACGTATTATTCTTACTCTTCTAAGTGGGGGGCTCCCGCAGCCCCTTTGGGGCGGCCCCTTGGGCAGGCTGCGTGCAGGGGTGAGGCCCTGCTCCCCAAGCCCCCAGGAGGGGTCTTGACCACTCTTCTAGAGGGGGCAGTGGAGCGAAAGCAGGACGTGCGCGTACGCGAATCCACGTTGGTTCCGAAAGTGCGCCCTGCGCGAACGTTGGTATCGCGAGGTTGGTCTCGCGGGCTGGGGGGGGCGCATTCGTGTCCCGCATAGTAAGGATGAACGATGTTTCAAGGTTGCCCTTGCATCCTTCCCCTTCGGCCCATCCGTGGTCGCTTTCGCTGGCGCGCCCCGCTCGCAAAGTGTCGACATGGCCTTCCAAGGCCCTTGCATCTTTATCGTGCGTTCTTATTCTACGGGTTGGCTGTATGTCCTTTGTATTGGCGGCGAGCGAGGGGTGGAAGTGAGAAGGGGCGGGCCTTCTCAGAAGGGTCGGAAGTCCCCAGGCCTTCTGAGGATCTCTCTCAGCCTTCCCGAAAGACACGGAAAAACCTCAGAAGACGCGAGGGCTTCTGAGAAGCCCCGCCGCCTGTTAAGAAGGCCTCCTCCTTCTCACCTCCCCTCCTCGATCGGCTCGCCGCCGATTGTGCGCTCCCTGAGCCTTTCGTCCCCGCTCGGACTGTCCCCCCAGGCCAGAACAAGAGTGCCTGCCCCCCCCGAGAGCCGACGCCAGGGAGCGTGCCTGGGAGGGGCAGAGAGGCGGATGCCCCGTCGGAGCGCTCTCCGCTTCCCGGGTCCCCGGGGAAGCCCTGGGTCGGAAATTGGACCATATACATTACCAGTGGCTGGCTCTTTTTCAATCCCACGACTTTTTGAGGGGCGGGGGCGGCGTCGGGGTGGTGTGGCGTATACTTGTTTCTCGTTTTCCCAGGGAAACAGCGAAACATGTATACACCAGGGTTCCGTATACACCAGGATCCGCTTTCCTGGCTGCAGATTTTAGTGCAGGCCCTGAAAAGGCGTCGGTGTATAGAGTTCGGTTCCCTACTGGGATGCGGAACAGCCAAGTCGGTCGGGGCTCTATCAAAAACCCAGACCCCTTCGCGCAGTTTTCGGCCTCCGGGGAAAAGACTCGGGTTGAGAAACCTGTCCCAGGGAAAGGGGTCAGGTTTTCTGGAGACCGCGTATTGAAATAATCAATATGTGAGCGGCAGCGAGGCTCGCCTCCTGTTTGCTTCCCTCCCCGCTTTATCTTGTCTCTTTTCGCCCTTTCTTCTCCCTGTGCGCGAATTTAGGCCGTTGCCCGAGTGCATCGTTCCTGGACGCCGCCCGACCTTTTCGCCGCAGTCGCGATCAACAAGAAGTATTGAAAGAACCAGGAAGTCGCATGTCTGGGGAGACGGGGGTCAATGCAAACTGGGGTAGGTCAGAGCGCAGGATCTTGCGGGAGCTTGCAGAGCCAGGGGTTCAATGACTCGGGCTTGATCTTGCAGGATCTTGCAGGATCTTGCAGGATTTTGCAGGATCTTGCAGGATCTTGGATGGACCTGGGTCAGTAGATCCCTAGTCAACCACATGTGAACCCTACAGTCAAGCCGCATGGTAAGGGTGCGCAACCTTCCCGAGAGTACGCTTGCATCCTTGCCTCCTCGGTCCATCCTTGGCCACATTCGTTGGCCGCGCCCCGCTCGAAAAGTTTCGAAATGGGCATCTAAAGCCCTTGCATCCATATCGCGCGTCCTTACTATGCAGGTTGACTGTACCCTGCGCAGATTTCTGACGAACCAGCTGGAGTTCAGAGCTCGAAGAGGATGTATGCGGCGAAGTGGACCCCAGCCAGGGTGTCCGGTACCCCAGCGTCGATAGAACCCGCACGGGTAGGGTTCGCAAAAGCCGTTTCAGATCGTCGGAATGTCGGAATCGGGCTGGCCGAAACGGCAGCGGGCATGAACACACATCTTGGCTGTGCAGCGGCGCTGTTGGTCGCCTCTCTCGGCTTCTTTCTCAAGGGGGGGCGATTCGCGAGGAGGATCCACGAATTGACGCTTGCCAAATGCCAAGGTGAACGGTAACCAATCTCGGCACGACGTTTTTGCGTTCAGTTTTGGTCATGGCCCCCCATTTCTTCCCCTCCAAATGCAGACCACTTTGAGCGCAGCAGGGACTCTGGTTTTCGGCCGCCCTTCAGAACTGCGGAGGAGGAGGAGGAGCAGGAGGAGGAGGACGAGGAAAAAGAGGAGGAGCAGGAGGAGCAGGATGAGGAGGAGGAGGAGGAGGAGGAGGAGGAGGATGAGGAGGAGGAGGAGGGGAGGGAGGAGGAGAACTGCGCAGCATCGGGGCGGGGGCACCTGGACTGCTACACGGGCTCCTGGGCCCCGGGTCAGGGCTCCTCCAGCTGCCTCTTCCCTTCTGCTCATCTCCCCTGCTCCTCCTCCTCCTCCTCCTCCTCGTCCTCCTCCTCCTCCTCCTCCTCCTCCTTCTCCTTCTCCTCCTCCTCCTCTCCTTCTCCTCCTCCTCCTCCTCCTCCTCCTCCTCCTCCTCCTCCTCCTCCTCCTCCTCCTCCTCCTCCTCCCCCTCCTGCCTCCCAGGCGACCCCCTGCCGGTGTCCAGGAGAGATCTAGTCAGGGGCCACGTTAGGGGGGGATAGGCAGGGCTCGTTTCGATTCCTACGACTCGGTTCGATTCGGCCTCGATGGCTTCCGATTCCGATTCGATTCGACTTGGGATTCCGATTTGGGCTCCGATTCCTCGTTGGAGGCCCACTGGCCTGCCGACTTCCGCCCATTCGACTTCTCCCGACTCGGCGGCCGAATTTCGCGGATCCGATTCATCTCGATGGCCGATCCGCCTTGTCGATTCGATTCTGGGCTCTCCTGGTATAGGCTCAGCGGCGGATGCATCGACCCCGGATCGCCTACTGATCGCCGATGGGGACCCGACAGCTCTCCCCGCCGAGGAGCGTGCGGATTCGCTATCGGGCGCCCATCGCCGATCCATCGGCGACGTACTAGCATTGCCGATTCTAGGCCGGCGTCTCCTCCCCCTGAGCTGGCCCCCCTCTGACCTTGCCCCTCATCTGGGGACCGAGCTGCCGATGAAGTTGCGCAGCAAAGGTCACTCTTGACGTGTATCCAAGTCTGGACCTCATTGGCTTCTTTGGCTTGCGACTCCAGGAGTCGATCTCTTGATCCCCTGGCGATGCTGGGCGTGACCGGAGGGGGTGTGTGTGAGAGAGGGGGGGGGGCCGGTGACGTCACGATTCGCGCCTACGCCGTCTGTCAATGGTTAGGGATGGCGGATTCCCAGACGGCGCCAGTGCGAATCGTGACGTGACTAGGGGGGGCGGGGGGGCGGGGCTGGTCACGTGCGTAATCGCGAATTGGCAAAAATGGTGTTTGTGGATGTTTTGAGTTCGCATGGTTTTGGCAGCCTCCGTGACGAGACCGGTGGTGACTGTGATCATCGGGTGACTTTGGCTGTTGCCGTCTGCTACTGCAGTCCTCGCCGCTGCCTCCCCGCCGAGGGCCTTCTGCGTGCTCCATGTAGTGGACCACGTGGTCAAAGCGACGAGGGAGGTTCCAGCCAGGGAAGCAGGCCATGTCCCATCGATGCGAAGTCTCGCTCTCGGCTGATGTGGTCAGGGAGGAGTGAGAGGGGAGAGGGGTCGCGCAGAGGCTAGTGGAGCTGGGTACTAACGCGTCGTAGACCGAGGCCGGTCCTCTAGGTACAGTCCGGGGCGTTTACGAGACTGGTGGGGCATGACTGACGTACCTCACACGGGATGGCAGCCGGCCAGGTCACATTGCAATGTGCAAGCCCGTGGGCAAAACGACATGGCACGGGACATACTGTTCCGCAATAGTCGTATTCGATCATATTGCCATCACATATCCCTCGTGTGGACGCTCGAGTCGCAAGGCGAACACGTATAGCTCGTCCACTCGACACCGTAACATCGGCGTAACGATGCAGTGCAGCCTTGACGGCAGTGGCGTCGACGGATTCATGACCGCTGCGACTGACGCGGGGCCTTCCATGTATCCAGCGCCGGGAGTGACACAAGCATCGCTGATGATTAGTGGCACCGCGCAGCCATGGTCTGGAAGAGTGCAACAGCAGAAGTGCTTTACACAGCTGGCGTGGCGCGGTGGTCGATCGCGTCGGCGTGCAATCCAAGCACCAGGCAACGCTGGCATTGATGGCCGGCTCGCGCTCGGAGGCGGCCGTGTGAGTCGCACTATGCTCCAGGCCCCCCAAACAGGGTCCGAGGATTGCGCCGCATCGCCAGTGCATCGGCGACGCGGCTCGATGCGGAGCCCGATCTTCTCCACGACGGCGTCGATGCTTCGTTGACGTCGCCGATGCATCACCGATGCATCGGCGATGCGGCGCGATCCTTCGACCAGTCCTTCTTGGACCCCATGTGGAGGCCTGCAGTTATGCACTGCGAGCCTGCCAACTTCAGGATGTGGGGGACGGCCCCGACTACATCCGAAGTAGTTCTCTGCAGGGACAGTGCCCTTGTAGAGAAGTGCTGGGTCATCTTCAAGATTCTGGGTCATCTTCAAGCAATGCTTGGTGGGGCCGTTTTGAGCGCGTTGCAGTGGAGTTTCCTGCTTCCCAGCGCGCTGCTGAGTGTGGCACGCTGTCCAGGGAAGGGGTTTCAAAGCTCCGCCGGAGTCGGCAGTCTGAGGAATTCTCCTGGGGACGTGCTGAGGTGACCCATCCGTAGGGTAAACGAACAGCTTCTCTGCAAAGGCATTGCCGATTCTCGCATCGATGGCATTGTCCAGATGAGCCACGAAAAAAAATGCGGTCGTCTGCGCCGACATTGCCGCGTAAGCGGGTAAGCGGATAGCGTCCCCTCGCTTCCAGCGTGGCGTGCCACTCTGGCGGCCCGCGTTTTCCACCGCGTAAGCTACAGTGGAGGCCCGTGCCAAGAAACACCCTGCTTGCCTCCAGGGTGCCCTGGGTTTCTTGGGTTTCGATGGTTTTGCCACGGAAAGCGCGACGGTCCCACACCCAAAATCGATAGGCGTCCTGGGACCTCCGTCCTGGGGTCTCAGGGTTGGGTTTCTTGTCGAAGGTTTCTTGTGGTCGGACCCCTACTGTACTGAGAACCCATTGGGGGGGGGGCGACCCCTGGGCTGCGGCACGCTCGAGCGGCGTCCTGTGCCGGGTGCGTGCCGCCGCTCAGGGGTCGGAGCCCCCTGGGATGGGTTCTCGGTGGCGGTGGTCCTTGGGACAATCGGGGAAAACGTAAGACTCGAGTAAGCCGGAACTCGGGTTTGCCGACGTTTTTTTGACGAGCGCGTCCTGGATTTAGACGGTCTGGTTTTCGTGGGATGTTTGCAGCGGGAGCTCGCGTTAAATCTCAGACTGGGTCTCGGCATTTTTATGAGGGCCCCGTCAGGCCAACCCGAGTCTCCCGTACCTGAGTCTTACGTCTTCCCGAGACAAGCCCTGGGGTAAGAGTGGGGTTCGGCGCTCCCTGACCTGCGCTACCGCGCTGGGGGCTTATGGGGCTCTCTCGCGGAGCCTCGGGGCCCTCGCAGATCCCAATCTACTTCAGACGCCTTCCTGCTTCAAGAATCGAGCGGTTTTCCCTCTTCCCTCCTCTTCAGGGGGGCGCGCGGAAGCCCAATCCAGTTCCAACGCCTTCCTACTTCATGTTTCTGCCCACTTCTTCCGACCGACGGGTACGCCATCCCGCTGACCCCCAGAAGAGGGATGAAGTCAAGAGGTGAGACCTTTTGTCGGGCCTCTTGGGGACCCTCTGGGGGCCTCTTTTTGGCCTCTCTTCAGGCCTCTTGGGAGTTTCTTGGGCGCCTGCTGGCGGTCTCGGGGATCCTCTTCGGGCGGAGGGTTCGGAATGTCAGGTCGCGTTGCTTCTCTTGGGCTCCTCTTAGGGCACTGTTGGGGTTCTCTTGGGCCGTCTTGGGCGCCTCTTGGGCTGTCTTTGGGCCCTCTTGAGGGCTTCTCGGGCCGTCTTGGAGCGATCGTGGGGCCTCTTGAGCCGCCTTGGACGCTGTTGAGACCAAATATGCGAATATGTTCAACTTATAAATTTTCCCAAGGGATTTGGACGATTCTTGCTTCTTGGGGCCCTCTCGGAGGTCGTCTTGGAGCCCTCAAGCCCCCCGAGACTGCCCCGGGAGTCCCCAGAACGGCCCCAGAGCGCCCCAAGACGCCCAATCGAGCCCCCAGAGGACCCCCCCGGGATGGCCCGATGATGGGCGAAGCTTTGATGTCAGGGCTCCCAAGAGCACCATGTGACTGGAACGCCCACATGAATCATTCCTCTGGGCTCAGGAGACGGGGGTCAATGCAGACGGGGGTCAGTCAGAGCGCGGGATCTTGCAGGATCCTGCATATACAGGGCTGTATTGACCCAGATTTGGGTGCAGGCTCCTGAAGGATCCTGCACGATCCTGCAGGATCCTGCGAAGCCTGACTGATCTGGGTTTGGATTGACCCGGGTCAGTGCGTCCCCGAGGCCAGTTCCCGCTTTCATCCTGCGGGGCCGCCCGATCGCTACACCTGAGGCGGAAGCCAGGCCAGTCCCCGCACCCAGGCAGCCCAATCTTTGCACCCAGGGCCTGTCTGCCAGCCCCCCCCTGCCGCCACCTGGCCAAGAGTGAGCAGTGACTTGAAACACTCTGAACGCCAAGGCTCCCAAGAGGAACGGTGACGTAAACAGCGCTCTACGCCAGGGTTCTCCAGAGCGAGCAGTGACGTGACAAGTCACTCCGCGCCAAGGCTCCCAACCGCGAACGGTGACCCAACAGGATCTCAGCACGAAGGCGGTGACGCGAAAAAGTTCTGAACGCCAAGGCTTCCAACAGCGAGCGGTGGCATGAGCCCTTTCGGGGAAGCTCCTGAAGCGCTATTTGCGTTCCCGTGCCGGCTCAGGTGTCTAACACGCCGTTGGCCCGATGGGCTGGCAAATCCGAGCACTTTCCAAATGTTCTTTTCGTTGCTGTGGCTACGTCCACCGTTGGAGCTCCCTCTCTTCTTCTTCTTCTTCTTCTTCTTCCTGGAGCCCTAGTTCCCATCTTCTCCCCTCCACTCTTTCCCGCGTGTGGGACTCCTGGGCGCGGAAGGTTCTCGCGAACAGCGCGAAGCTCAACAGCGAGCGGAGGACATATCCCACACTGTTGCGCCTTGCCTGGGGTAGTCCTCTCTCGCTTCGGCCTGCTCTGCTGGCGCACCTACGCTTAGGTATGGGGTATGCACTGTGTCCGCTCAACGCTCCCTTTCGGCAGTGGCGCGACGAAGAAGGTTAGTGGAAAGCTGTGAACCGCTGTGCATGATGGCAGTCCTGCGTTCATCCCGTTTCGTCGTGAGTCTCTCGTGTTGTTCTCCTCCCGCAAGTGTTGGTGCAGCGAGCGAGCGATGGCTGCTCGGAGCATAAGCCGCGAGTGCAGTGATAGGGGGCCACATGCGAACCCTACCCCTACCCACCACGATTTTTGAGGGGGAGGGTGGGGCTCACTTCGTTCGGGAGCTCCCGAGCGAAGTGAACCCCACCCTCCCCCTCAAAAATCGTGGGGGGTAGGGGTAGGGTTCGCATGTGGCCCCCTAAGTGAGCGACCCTGGTTGGACTGGCGCATTTTGTGAACTGGCTGGTTCTGAGGTCCTGCTTCTTGTGTGGACAGCACCGTGGCGGCGCCCTGCAGGCCGCCGAACCCCCCTGCGGTCATCGATGCCCCGTCGCGCGTGCGCTTCCTCGCGGGCTGCGCCGAGGATGGATTAACCCCATACCCACGATAATAATGTACCCCCCCTATACACATAAGAGTTGATTATCCTAGGCTCTGGCTCCTCTGTTAACATCTTTATGCTGGCCTCTGGTGGGCAACTTTTATTATCACCCCGTAACCGCCGAACTTTATTATCCCTGGGGGTTTATTCTCGGGAGCATGGGGTTACGTTCAGTGTTCCGGTGCGGAGAGGAGTGCGACACCACACGCCGGTTCTCACGCGAGGAGTACCGAACAGACAACGGCACAAGCACAGGTTTTCGGAGCTCCGCGCGGATTTCTTGGATCGGCGCTGGGGCCCCCCTGGCGGCGCCTCTGGCGCTGCCCCTGGCGGGCTCCGCGCGCCAGGGAGGGGGGTCCAGCGCGGATCTCAGAAGTCCGCGCGGAGCTCCGAAAGTTTTTGTGCTGATGCCGTTGCCGGCTCCTCGACGGCACGGTGGAGCGTGAGGGGAGAGGACAGTCTCACGGGGGAGCGCGTCGACCCCCCACCGCTCATTCATCGCCGATGGGGCCCCAGTAGCCCACCCTGCCCAGGAGCGCGCGGACCTGCTGCCGGGGCCGTATCGACGACGTGCCGGCGACGTGTCGTCGACTCGAGGTCTGATGCCTCCCCCACCGAGTAGGTCCCTCCCCTGACGTTTGCCCCCCAGGACATCGTCAGAGCCACAGGCCGGGGCAAGGGAGACGATGCGGGATCTTCCTCCCTGCCTCTAGCCTTCTGCCCTCTGCCTCCCCCGTCCCCCGTCCTCTGGTGTCGAGGGAGAGTTTTCCGGCACAAGCATCCATTTTCGGAGGTCCGTGCGGACTTCTCGGATTGGCGCTGGACCACCCTCCCTGGAGCGCCAGGCGCGCCTGGGGCGCGCCTGGGGCGGCGCGGGAGGCGCCGCCATGGGGTCTGGCGCCGACCCGAGAATCCGCTCGGACCTCCGAGAGTGTCACCTTGTGCAGACATGTCTTCTCCTGTCCTTCTCCATCCTCCCTGGCCCGAGCCCGAACTCGGGGAGGCTTGATGCGGCTCGGCTTGTTCCTGTTCTGCTGCGCGAGCGTGCGCGATCGCTTCTTCAGCGGGCGTGGTGTGGTGCCCCCCCCCCCCTCTCCCGACTGCGCAGTGCCACGCCATGCTATGTCATGCTACGCGTTGATCTTCAACGCCATGTTATGCCATGTAATGCTATGTCATGCTACGACATCCGACTGCGCGAGTAGAGAGGAGATCTACGCCATTGTAAGGGGTGGGAGGGAGGGGTAGGACGTCAGATAAGATGCTTGCGCACCTAGCTTGCCCCTCCCCCCTCCCCCCTCCCCCCCGCCGCTGGCGGGTGCCTTGTTGGCCTCCTCGTCGCCGTCGCCTCCCTCCTGCCGTCTCCCCCGCCTCCCCTCTCCCCCCCCACTTCGCAGGCGTTCTCATCTCCCCCACCTCACCTCATTCGAAGAAGAAAAATCGCCATAAGCATAAACTTGCCGTTTTTTCTTCTATCCCCCCACCTCATTTTGGCTCGGCTCTCTACCACACTGCTGCCCATGCGCGCTGCCCCCGCTGGGCGCCTCCTGGCAGGCGATGGCGGCCGCGTTTATCACGAGATGCACCCGACCGGCATGGTGCTGCCCGCCGCAGGTCGATGCCGCGCCTCCTCCTCGCCGCTGCGCGGAGGCTCGGCTACGTACGCGGCCCGAGTCGGACGCGTGCCTCGCGCAGCCGACGTCGGCGACTCGGCGCAAGCCTGCGGCCCAGACCGCCCAGGGCCCCGTCGGCATCGGGACCTTCGTGGCGCCGCTTCCAGGGTTCGTGTGCAGACTGATCGGCGGGCCAGACCGGTTGGTGCTCCTGCTGTTCCACCGCCTCAGGCGCCTCAGACGTTGTGAACGAACTTTGTGGAGGACGATCCATGGAGAGGAGGCACGTTGCATACTAATTTTCACATGTCTAAAATATGTTTAAATCATGTGTTAAACATGCCCAAACTCGTTAAACATATTTTCGTTACATGTTAACAAACAGTTTAAACACATCTGTAATTCAACGATAGGACTGCTAGAGTGCCCATTGTCATGTCATCCTCAAAACGAACCACGGCGTTCGTGGTCTGGGGAGCTCTGCTAACGCGTGCCCGGTGGCTGGAGGTTTTGCTCCTTGGCCTCCTCTGGAGCGGAGCTCGTCGGCCACGCGCAGAGGAGGTCAGGGGGTTAGGAGGAGGAGGAGGAGGAGGAGGAGGAGGAGGAGGAGGAGGAGGAGGAGGAGGAGGATGAGGAGGAGGAGGAGGAGGACGAGGAGGAGGAGGAGGAGGAGGAGGATGAGATGAGCTGCCCGCTGGCGCCGTAACCCCGGCGCCCCCTGCTGCATGGTGGTCCGACTGCTCGGACGCGAGAGGTGCGCAGAGGAGGCGCCGCCTGGATTCGGTCCGCCCTGTGCGCGAGGTGCCAGGGGTCAAAGGTTCAAGCATAGTCAAATCATAGTCTGGGGATGATTTTCAATCTATTTCTGATTACTTTCGAATATTTTCTTGGACTGTTTTCTGTTTGTCGTCCAAAATCCGCCCGTAGGAGGACATGCCCGACCCAAATTAAGGGAGGAAAATTCACCCGTACCCGACAACTGACGTTTACTAAACGTCCCTTGGCGTTTATTGAACAGCCCGGCCCTGTTCGATTCCTTCCTTGGGTGCGCTTGCTAAGCGGCTTCGGTTGTCGTCGTGATTCTTAGGGGGGTGGGTTTTCTGCCCTCTAAGGGGCCTCACTCGGGCTTCGTTCCAGGTGCCCAGAGGCTCTTTGATCGTGCAGCTGGCGGCGCCGAAAGCGCGTCATCTCTTTCGACGCGCCGTCCTCGCCTCCCGAAGTACAGTCGACCCGCGCGATGAGGATGGGCAGCCTTCCTAAAGGTACCGTTACATCCTTACCTCCTCGGCCCATCCTTGGCCTTTTTCGGTGGCCGCAGGGTAGACGTCGCCTCCTCGGCCCATCCTTGGCCTCCTGGAGTACGCGGGGTAGAGGTTGCTGTTTACGATCTTTCTCGCTATGTGCATGGCCGCCTCGTGGCGAGAGCAGCGACCTACCGTGCCTGTCGCACGTAGTGCTGGCTTGGATATGGTTGCCGAGTGCAAGCAGCGGATCTCAGACTTTGCCCTGCAGCACGCCGCCAGCTTCCAAGGGAAGATTGACACCTTGCTTGACAAATGCTGGGCCCAGGAGGACGCTTTTTGCTCCAAGGTACGCGAGAAGATCGGAGTGCAACCAGTGCCGTTCAGGTGTGGCCTTGATCTGAGCGGTTTCCGTGTGTATCGTCCTCCTGATTGAATATGTTTGTTTGAGATCAGACGACAAGAGTGCCCAAACCTGTTTATCCAGTTACGTCGGGGCATGGCGCTTCCCGGCTCTATTGATCGGTCGCTCCCAGTCGTCTCCTGAGCCTCCCGATCGTAATTGGCGGACCCCCGTGAGGTCCCAAGCGCCATCCGCCCGGTCAGTGTACCGTTCTAGACGCACATAGCGAAGCTGCGCGTCGCATCATCATCAACCTCCTACCCTCCTCCTCATATTCCTCCTCCTACTCTTCCTCCTCTTCACGACGGGTCCGTTGCCATTTTGGATCGAGGTTCTGAGGGGCAGCTACCCTCGTCATTCTTGAGCGGGCAGCTGGCTTCTGTCGGCCTTCTTGCGTGTCGTGCGCAAGCGGCCTCTCTCTCTCTCTCTCTCTCTTTCTCTTGTTCGCAGTCTGCCACGGCGGCGGCGAGCACGGTGCTGCAGCAGATGAACGACTTCTTGGAAGCCAACAAGAGGTCCATTTCGGAGGCGATTGCGATGCAGCTGCAGGAACACCAGAAGTCGACCAACGATAAGTTCGATGCGATGGCGTCTCATCTCAAGAAGCTCGAGGACACCGTCAAGATGCAGGGCCACAAGTTCACCATTCCTGAGAACCGACCCGCTAGCAGTGCTGCTTCGGCGTGATCGGCACCTACCAGGGCATCGAGCGACGACGGCTCGAAGGCGAGGCGCACGGACGTGATCGTGAACCCTTTCGTGAAGTTCATCGGTACCTTCCCGAGGCCGCTGCTCATGAAGACTAGGCAGGAGCACTACAAGAGCATCGAAGCCAATTTCGCTGAGCTCACTGACGACGTCGAGGTGGTCTATCACGCAGCCAACCAGACCTACAAGCTCATCTTCAAGAGTGCCCTCGTAGCCAACAAATTTCAGCAGCTTGCCAACCAGACAGGCATCAAGTGGCGAGATGTTCGAGACGGCACAATCTTCAACCTTCGTGTTCGTGGCGACATGCTTTTGGGCGTTAGATTGATGAAGCGCGCATTCCATTCGCTGAACTTTGGCCGCTGGTGCACAACAAGGTCTGCAACCATATGTCTTGGTCATCGGGGCATCG